GGAAAGAAGAAGAGCAGCGAGCCGTGACGCATATATCGGCACAATAATGAAATGTAGAAGTATATTGTTTTAACACACTAGGTAGTGCACATTCTGTAAGGAAACTTTCTGGAGTCTGTTGATAACATTGTATCTAGTTACAGTTTGATCTAGACTTTTTAATCATGATTCTCTATATTCAGAAGAATCAACTAGTACGGTACCGCCAACTATACCTGTGGAATCAACGACGACAAATGAGGTGCTACCGTTTCAGTGCTCACATCATACTGTCATAGATGATCCAACACGTCATATTCTGTATAATGCAACTCGAACTTGTGACGACGAGAATCTCGGTTGGGTTCGATTCATTGATGGAGCAAATAATGAACGCTCAATGATAATTCCAACTGAACAACCGCCTTATTTAGAACATTGTGGTGCAGTCGTTCCTGGGTGGTTAAAAAATTTTACGTATCCAACAACAATTGGAACAACAGTTCAAGCTTCAGTTTGTTTTGATTTTGTAATAACAGGTTCAACAGAAAGATTATGTTTGTACACAAATGATATACAAATTACCAATTGTGGTCATGATTTTTTTGTGTTCAATTTACCAGCTGCACCTCGATGCAATCTTCGCTATTGCACTATTTGAAGTAATGTTCTGTAAGAGAAGGAAAAATATGATATAACTATATTCAAATATAAACATAACATATACTCTATCAGGAGTCATTCGGGGAACAAAGGTCTGATATGAAATATATCTATCAAAGATTGTCCATGATTGGCAAAAATGAAGTTCAAGAATGATTTAGAAATTTTGCTTGTTCTCAGTTTGCAACAAATCACCGATAGTGACAGTTTTTTTCTTATCATTCGCATTTCTTAGACTAGAAGAATTCTTTCCATATTCTGGTGACAGAAGAATCGGTTAGTATATTCTCTTTCAAAAGATGTCTACAGATCAAGCAGCCGACTTGATCGTACACCTCTAGTTCCTAAAGAAAACTGCATAAAATATACAAAACCTTGAATTCATTAGAAGATGGAGTGGATATTTTTCAAGTTGATGATGTGAATGTGGCTAATGGAAAGGATTCATAGAGAATACTTTCATCTATATTCGAGCTTAAAATTGAACTCGAATGTCAATGTTCTAGTTGTACAATTGGAAAACTAGAAAGTAAGAAACCGTAAGAAAGATATTCTTGATAAGCATGCAGAAAATGAAGGATGAATTACGAAAGAACAGGCAATATGAAAACTATCCAGATGTTAATTTTTTCAGATGTTTCTCTCAAGCATTTTGAGCATGTTCTGATTAAAGCTATAAAGAAGTAAAATTCATTCATTGTACTGATATTTTATTCATAATCAATCATGAGATTTATATATTTATGTTGATGATGAGGATGGATGCGAAATGTGGAATAGATTTCTCTTCATTGTCAGAGAAAGAACTAAACACTCGTTGTTTCTACCCATGCGATATATCGAATCATATCAAGTTCAATCTAACTCACTGGTATGATCTATCTGTATGCGACCGTTTAGAGCCGCTTTCAAATATTCTACTTGTCCAAGCGATAATTCTTGTCTTAATATGGCGAATAACTTGTTGTGAACCTCTAAATAATCGTTGTAGATGCGTATTTCTGGCAGTGTATCAGAAGATGCTATTTTCATTGAAAGTTGTCGACACAGTTTGTAAACATTTGCGAAGAATACTTACTTAATTAAGCCATGATATGGTTCATCACGTAAATGGACATTCGTTAAGTGTTATTACAAGTGCGAGTGTGAGTGTCAGTATGTATTTTTTTCTTCGCCTACTCAGACATCTACACATCCACTAAACGATGCTAGCGAATAAAATACATCAATCAATTCTTCATCGCTTCAATTTGAGGAGAATGGACCAGTTGAAAGATAATATTATTCATCATAATATCGTTACTGGTCGCGAAATGGCTGAGAGGTTTCGAAAAGTTGTATTTAACGACAAGCAAAATTATTTTAGCAAGAGTGGCGAAGAGTTCCCATCTGAAATATAACTTTCACTAACCGATGCTATTGAGACCCGGCGATTACATATGATTGAAGGCGTCAAATACATAATCAAACACATATTGGCAACGTGTTTCAACCAGAAATAACAAGATAGAGGATAGATCAACCGCTACACATGCCAACAAAAGAAAACAAAATTATTGAGTTCACTTCATGATAACGATAAAAATATATTTGTCTATATTAGTTCTCTATCACTTACCTTGAATACTTTATCATCATAATTTTTTTTCCTAACATAAACATGATCCTATGAGAAGTACAGTCCTTCACGAAGTTTACTTGTACCTTCGATCAAAATTCCAGCTTGAATTTCTTGCTAGGATGTACACATTTTTCGACTGAAGATGATTCACCGCAGATACTTTTCGTTATTTGTGACTCGTATATCCTTTTTCATTCATCGTTTGTTCATTTTATTCTTTGTTTCACTCGTCGTTGATTCGCCGTTCTTTGTCTTATTCTCATCCTCAAGAAAATTAATAAGACATGGCATCATGGTATATACAGAAAACTTGTAATATTTTATGAAAACTGGTTTTTGCGTTTATCTGAATCTATTTTCACGAATATTAAATGAATGACCAGTTGCTAAGACATATGACATTCGCGAAGCTTATTACTTATATTAATAGTTTGTTTTATTTCGACAAAATGTTTTTTATTTCTGTACAGGTTCATGATTACAATACAGCCAAATTGAATATTTGCTTACTTTCGAAGAACGGACACATAATGCTTGTCAATTTTTATTGATAAGTAAGGTCTCGGTTGCATAAAGGTCTATGTTTCTGGCGTAGGAGTTATGTGAACCCACCAGGTTCCACCATAGTATTGAATAAGTTCACTTACAATTATTGATTTGATGTCTTCTTCATCCGTTCCTTCAACAATAGCTTCTCGAATGATATTAATTACAGCTTCTTGCATTGGTGGTGATAAAGTCGAGCTGAAAATGCGAGGGTTAGAAAGAAAAGTTCAATATGGATTTATCACTTCTAAATTCGAATACTTTTTAATCATTCGTATCAGAATACTAACAAATTACTGTCAGAACAAGGTGATATTCGAGCAATATCATGAAGCTTTTTATACTTACTGGATGGCTTAGCTGACGACGGCGCTTCCTTCACTTTTGCTATTGTTGTTGTGAAGCTGGTGCTTTCGTTCAAGCTAACTTTCGACATGGGTTGAGATTCTAGAACTATCAATAAAATATAGAACACTCTTCGACAATAGTGAAAGTGAACTACCTGCTGCTGAAATGGTTGGTGATGATGCAATATTATCAGCAGGCTTAGACGTATGTGGTGTCGGCAATTCATTTTAAACGGTGGTTTAACAAATGAAAATGGTGGTTCTAATTCTTTCATTTAAATAATATATAGATCGTCTGCTGGATTCAATTGTCCGATCACCTCGAAATATGAACCAGGCATCAATACGATTTCTTTTTCTGTATCTTTGAAATACGAATATGAAGCAATTGATTTTCCATTTTGACTTTCAATAGAAAATAAAGTTCTCATGCCTTTTTTGCCTAAAAATGTTTCTGCATAAAGAACTTAAACATTAGTTGTGCATGAATTCACACCCCACTATGCAAATTTAGTTCCAGTTGGCTACTGCTTACTTAAATCGACACCACACACACCGCGCCAAACTGTCTGAAGATGAGATGGAAGTTTGTGAAGAGCCGTCATAAATAATTTAAGATAGGCAAACCATCGCTTGAAATTATCACTATTTTCACCACGAAGCGTCAAATTAAGAAGTTGATAGAAACTTGGATCTGAATCAAATTGCATCGTGTACAAATGAACTGCTACAGATTCATCTTGATTGAGACCATCTGATGGAGTTTTAGAATTTTCTTTTACAATCCATACATTTTCTTCAATGCAATCGAAAAAAATTGCAATAGAAGTCACGGCTTGTTCGAGTGATACGAGCGGTGCAGCTTCATAACCTTTAATTGGTGAGAGAAGGCGTGCAATGGGTTCTGCTAGTAAGTCTGTATATCGAAATTTGGTGAGGTTTTCATGAGGTGATGTGGGTTTTGACATGTTTGAAAACGATGAACGTTTAATATTTTCTATGAAACGTACCGTTGATTGACGATTTAAAACAACCACGTGAAGTTATGTATGTTTATTCACTATGTATCAGCGTATGCAATGACAAGTGAGCAATAAAATAGGACAATTTATTTATTGGCACACTTTCCTTGGGTAAACTACGTGAAGGTTGAAAATAAGTTTATAAAAAACAAAAATCATTCTTCCGTAACCAACAGGTATTGCACTATCCATCGAAATATAACGAACGAAGTAGAAAATACAATGGTACTCTCATTAACTTTTTTTTCTGTTTTCTATATTAGATTTGATTGAGTGCATTGACATCAAACATTTCTATTGTCGAAAGACTATCGAAAATCACATTGACGAAGACTGTTTTCAATTTAGATGATTCATTACGAATCTTGACTAAATTTTGCTAAATAAGCTCATCAATATTGCATAAAGTAGAAATTGGACTCAGAATAGTAAAAATATGCTGGTTTAGTGAGTCTAAAGAACCATGACTACATGTGTTACTGTAATGTTTTCGTGATAATTCTTTCCGAGAAGAAACATTAAAAAAAAACAAATTTCATCATCATGAAGTCTATTGTCTAAGTTACAAATATAAATGAAAATTTTTTTTAGTGTGAGAAAGTTACCAGGAATGTGATCTTTTCGAATTAATTCTAATGAGAGGATTCTCTTGGATGAGTGCATCACTAGGACGTTTTACTCTCGTAAAGTCGTCGTAATTCAACAAAATGAAATCAGAATTTCAATTCAATTAAAACTTTCATATAGATTGATGCAGAGTAAGTTTTAGCTCTTTGTCACAATAGGTTGCTCCGTTATGACAATACGAAAGTAGAAAATGGGTAATTGAGTTACCTATGGACAAACCTTAGACATTTTTCTTCCGCTTTCTCATTCATCTTAAATGACATTTAATCTTTTGAAATATTGAATAATACAAAAAAATAATGTTGAGACTAGGTTTCGATACTTATAACCTACAATTATGTGATTTGAATAAACTAGAATTTAATCGCATTGGAATTAGTTTTGGCTATTTTTATCATATGATGCATTGCCAGAGTTTCCCCGAAAACTTAATTAAATATTAGCATAAAAGATGTAGTAGATATGGACGATATAGAGATAAAGAAGGTATATAGGAAGTGTGAGAGAAGGATATATTTGGCAAAATAGGAGATGTAGAGATGGATTTGTGTGTGCACACCAGAGTCTAGTCTTCATTTGCACTCACAGCCACAAGCGAGCAATCTTCTTTCTTATCAATGAATTCGTATTTTCTTTGCTTTTTATCAGAGAGTGATATGAAACGGCGACTATTTTCATTTCATCTGACTATTATTGATCAACATGTTCAAGACAAAACTTATTGATGGAACAATAATCAAGTAAGTTATGGTTATTAGTCAGATATTTGATATTTGCCTTAGTAATGCAATCAGATCTTCGACTATTTATCGTACTATGTAGTGATGAATGCACTAGTGTGATTGATGGGTTCATTGAAACGAAGAATCGGCATGAAGTATACAATTATCTTGCTATATTACTGATTAATTTAGACATAATTCGTTTTTCCAACTACGATTAATCCTTCTCCAGCAGTTCGATAAAAACCTCGTCAACATTTGACTAATAATCGCGTAAAAGAAATCGTTCATCGAGTTGTAATGTAATCTGACATGCGGTTAAGTGATAAAATAGCGTTTCCTGATCTTTTTGGCAAATATTCCACATGATCTTTTAATGTGGGTGTGCCTACTCCTTCGACTTCATTTGCACCCACATCCTCAGTCTACAAAAACATTTTACTTCACGACATATTGTACTGATTTTTGTACCATTTTATGAAGTTTTCTCAAAGTCAGCACTATTTTTAATCGAATTTTGTTGGATAGAACAAGACTTTTTGTGCATTTTAGACCATGGAAAAAAATTAGCAATATCATTGACGCGAAAATTGTTTCACTCTCAATCTTGGCAATGTTGGAGTGATCCTGTACTTGTAGTAGTTCTGATCTACGAACGAACGCACAAAATCGAGTTGTGGTGCTGTTTCTCATATCTAGTTTTATTCCTCTATTGTCTTTATTTATTGAAGGTAAAAAAGACATTTGCTTGCTGCTTCGAAAAAAAATTGATCATTGAATTTCCACGAGAGACGAGAAGAAAATTCTATGAGCCTCAGCTAGATTGAAGGCGCTCTATCGCCTACGCTTTATGTAAAACACATGTTGCAGAGAGACATCTATTATGTTTTTTGAAAGACTTTTGTTATTATATTGCCAACGAACTAAAAATATGTTCATCGTGTTCGTATAAATTTTTCTTACGTTTTCGAGCATATCAAATTGTGCGTATAAAGTTACGAATTATAATAATTGGTTAATCTTATAAAGTTTATTAATCCTTATGAATGCTACTGAAAACAAATATACATCTTCTTAATTGCAGACCAATTCGTTTTGATGGCTGATCAATATTCGACTTGGGCAACGAATACGCCACATGACGATTCATCACGAGTAAGATAGCACTTCTTTACGAATCATCATTTTAAATCTGAACTTAACTGAAGCTTTAATATCAATGTTTTTCAGAAGTATTCACACAGTTCCATTGGTATGACAGTGTTGAATCACGAAAACGATAAGCAACGACAACAGAATTCTAATTTAAGTCAGCAATTAGAAATATGTCAAGTTCAAATACAACAACAAAAAATACATTTTGACCAACAACTGCAGAAACCTCTTTCTACTCTATCAACTACGAATGATGAATTAACTGGTCAAATTAACAATTTTAAAGAAGAAATAAATGATTTAAAACAAGAAAATGGCCAATTGAAAGAAGAGATAAATAAATTAAAACAAGAAAATGATTGTTTTGAAGAAGAAATAAATACTGTAAAACAAGAATATTACGACATAAAACAAGAATATCGTCATTTAGAACAAGAAAACCGTAGTTTAAGACAAGAAAATGATCATTTTGCAGAAGAAAATAATCGCTTGAAAAATATTTGATTAAAGGAAAGAGAACCATTCATATAATAGTGATTAGGTGTTTCATTTTCATCTTTAATTACTTGTAAACTTTGATTTTTTTTCTTATTAATTAATCAAGCAAGATATTTACCATTTTGATTCGATGTTTTTCATAAAATATAAGTAACAAACTGTTTTCAATATAGGTGCATGCTGTACGTGTATCTAATCATTGGTTTCTGAATTGTTTCAAACAAAATCCAAATTAACTTTATTGAACAATGAATAAAAAGTACAATAAAATTTAATCTTTTATAGTGGTGAAAAATAATAGTGCGTTATTGATATATAACGATACAAGCGAATAAAAAATTTTACAGATATCTTTGTCAAATGTAAAGGGTGTCTCAGAAGCTGTAGAACGATTTTAAAATTCATTGTTCTTGCATTCAACAAAAGCAAACTCTCTAAAACTTTGGCAAATTAGTGACCTACAGTATTTTTTTCAGTGTTTCTGATGATCTTGATAATTTTTTTATAAAAAGATTATAACGTTTCGAAATGAAAAATATTATATTAAGTTACTAATGCTTGTTAATTCGATTATCATATCGATTAAGTACTGTTTTTAATCATGTTAGTATTTTCTCGATCATTTATTGGCATAACAAAACACGAAACGTATTCTGTTACGTATTAATGTCGTTTTTCAGTTGTTGAGAGTGTGGGTGTGGGTGGGTGTGGGTGTGGGTGTGGGTGTGGGGTGTGGGTGTGAAGATAGGTGTGAGTGAAGTCAATAATGGTATCTACACCCACCCCCACCACCCACACCCACACCCACACCCACACCCACATCCACACACCCACACCCGCACACCCCCACCCACACACCCACACCCACACCCCACCCACACCCACACCCACACCGGCACCCTATCCATACCTCACACTACCCTCAATCAAACAGTTCAGTAAGAAAGCCTTAATTAGTAAATGTACATTGAGACATAATGGTGCATGTCAAAATATTTTAACATCTTGTGATATTCATTATTTATGGATGTGCTATTGAATATACTTCTGATGCTGTGAGTTCACGTGCATAGACTCGAAATTCATCTAATGATCCACTATACTGTCCCAGTTGTATCGGACCTCTGGCACAAACTCCGGTTCCACTCAGTGAATTTCCGAGTGTAATCGTCATCGGAACACCACCAGCGGTAAATGTATAAGTACCTGACGCTGAACCATATTGATTACCATTGACATACAGTCGTTCTCCATTGCTCGATGAATAAGTTGCTGCAACATGAGTCCATGTATTAAGTGAAACGCTAGGTCCAGTAATGGCAACGCTGCCACTATTCCAACTATGAATAGCAATTAGTCCAGCCGAAGTGAAACCCATAATCGGAATACACCAGCCAACTCCATTCGTTCCAGAACTCAAATGCATAATCGTTCCACCAGATGCGCTTGTAGGATAGATCCAAATGGCAACCGTATATGGCCAACCACTTGTACCTATGCGTCTGAGGCCTGTAATTTGGATATAAGAGGAGCTGCCCGAAAGTGTAAGAGCAGCATTGACTTTACCGGATGATGTATAAGAGTAGCTCGTTCCTGTTCCATTAATCTGTAAAGGACCGCTATCAAGAAGAGTATTACCATCGAAAGGTAGATAGGCCACAACAGTTGCATCATATAATACCTCCGTTGAATTCTTTGCTCGACTAAAGTATGCAACCGAATCAATACAACCATCAAAATAGTTATTCGGTGTATTGACACTGTTCGTACCAACAGTTAATGCCCTGAAACAAAATACATGCTCACCTAACTTTTACCAACATTAATAAAACTTTTCAGTATATCTTTTCACGACTCTAAAATATGACATTGAAGTCGAAGACGAGTTTTTCCTGAGAACAGAAGCCTTAATGAAAATTGAAGGTGCTGCGTTTTGCGTAATAAAATTAAGTTTTCTGAGATGATCTCATGCACTAGACATTAATTCTTTTTTTTATCTCGATCGTTACTATGATACCGTATCGCAATTGGATTGATTATATTGTTCCACATATAATCCTAAAGTTTTTTTGTTTGCTTGAATCTAATTATAATTGATTATGCAATTACTCTGAACTAGTTGTACACAAATAACATTCATCGGACTCAAGTCACTTGGCATGAGGCTGGCAAGATGCTGATATACATATATCCATATCGAGAAATATTTATACTTCAAGTAAAGTATTAGATAAATGTCATAAATGAACTAACATGTAGGAACAAGTCGTTCCATAAAATCAGTTTTTTCTATAATATAAAATCTGATTTACATTTTAAAAGAGAAAGTCTTATTTCGGCTCTGCTACAGTTGACTATTTCAGTTCAGTTTCTATATTGGAAATATTATTTATTTTTATATAGCTATTTTGTCAAAAGTATGTCAATGATTGCATTGCTGCATCTCTGTTTCTTTATATTTGATATTGTTCCTAAAATTATACTTTCAATTTCGAATGAGATTTATATACAATGAATGAAAATTATTTTTTGTCACAGATTAATACATGTCGAACAGGGGTCGTATCGAACCGAGTTTTTCTGGATAGAGTTCGGCTCGGTTCGGCTTCATTTTTGAAAAACCAGTTCGGGTTCTGTTGTGGTTCGATTGGAGTAGTATTCCTGTCACTTAATAAGGACTAAACCAGAAGTCAAAACTTAGGTCTCTGATGGTCAAAAGTGTCACATAGAAGTTCATATTCGTATCAATTAACAATAATAAATACACTTTTAGATTAAAATAAAATATTAAGCTTGATATACGAGAATCAGAAATCGTGTAATACTGATACTAATCTCATACCACTACGGATGATTATTTATTGCACTTTAGAAAAATAAAGAAATTTATGAAAGAAAAATCAAAGAATTTTGTCAGATAGAAGTGATCTATCGTCGTAGACACAATTTGTGTAACTAAAACTAAAAGAAAAAAGACACTACAATGCGCAGATATTAAATTAAACATGTGAAATAATTGATAAATATTTGCGTTTATCTTCGTTGACGGCATTATACTTTTGTAAAATTGATGATAGCTTAATCACTTATTTTTCATCTGACACTAAACTATGTTCAACTGTTTTATTTCGAAATTACTTCAAGTTGGGTTCGACTTTATTTTCAAAAAGTTGGCTCGTTTTCGTCCTGTGATGTCGAATTCCTCAAATTCACCCAAATGATGCGCAATAACAAATACTTAATACATCTATTTTAGCGATTTGATGCTCCAAGCATCAATGCTTTAAAGAATAATCTTGACATTGAAAGCATTTCAATCTTGTATCATTTTTATTATTATGTGTCTCATTTCTGTTTGGAATAGTATTTTCTGTTTACTATTATCATCTTCGAAAAAAAGTTGTCTACACATCATAAATCATTATTGAATTTGGAAAGACTTTTTATGAAAAGAGAGGAGCAACTCTAGATTAATGAGAAGCGTTAAATCGTTGCGATATCATATTTGACAGAAGTAATGGATCCTTTTCGACCAAAAGTTTCCTTACCCTGATGTACCTTGGTATGGCCCAGCTTGACTACGTGAAGTATCCAAATAGCCGTTTACATAGACGTATTGTGTTAGGGTTGAATAATCATAAATATATGCCTATAATTAATTGCAGAAAATGATATTTCATTTGAAAAAACTTTCTATGTGGCACCTACCATGTGATACCATACGCCTGTACTCAATACCTAAGCAAAAAATTTAGTATAACAATTTGTTGAATATATTTGTTAGACTACTCACAACACTTTACATTGATCTATCAAGATTCTTACAGCACTCACTTACTTGGTTCCCGGAAACGTCATCATTGAAAAAACCAAGATAGATACGTTGATTACGAATGATAATGTAAAGAGAATGATCTAAAGTATTTTGATGAAATTGACCGAAAACGGCATTATCGCTATACGGATTGTTATTGTGCAGCGTATTTGCATACAGCCACACTTCCCATGTGAACGATGTATAAGCCATGTTGAGAAATGTTGAATTGAACGTTACTGATTGACTCGATGCTTGACTCAACCAAAGACATGCACCGGCTCCATTGTAACCTGGTGAACTATATGTGGGCCCGTTAATGCCGCTTCCATTAAAATTGTTATATAAATCCTGCAAATTGTTATCGAAGCCCCAAAAAATACGAAGAGCTAAAAAAAGATTTTACGAATAAATGCTGGTAGATTTTGATTTATTGGATACAAACGTGTCTGACAATAGGATCCTGTCCACATCGTCGAGTCACCTAAGATAAATAACAAACATTAAATAGAAAATTCATTAAAGATGAAAACTTACAAGTGCAAACATTTGTTGCTGTGCAGTTGCCTCCGTTGGAACAGGCTGGGATGCAAGTGGCTAGAAACCAAACGATAGTGGTAAACGACAATTTCTGAATTTTATACTCTTGAAACTAGTTATTGTTGTGCAAGTGCAGGCTTATATAAGTAACCTCTTTGAGTGGTCCCAAGTAGAAAAATAAGAGCTTTCATTAGAAATTAGAGCAGCTTTAGTCCTTTCCTACAATTACAAGTATTATGGAAATACGTAGCTTCTCAAAACACATACTTTTGTAAATAAAAAAAAAAAAGAAAGTTAATAGCTATTTGATGATCATATACTTATTTATTATTAGCTATTTAAAGTTTTCTATCACTATTCAAATATTCTAGATTTAATTCAACTTACTATAGCTATTTACAGTTTGCGTATCGATTAAAAGTTCTGTAGCACTTTCGACACACTATGGCAATTTAAAAACTCCTAGATAAATACAAAAACTAATAGTTTCGTAGATATTGAAAAACTTTCATACGCCACATTATTTGAATAGCTAATCGATCTATCTGATGGTTAAATACTTTTTTTTGGATGCGACTCCCACCTTGATATCGTTGTCTCTTTATTTTCTCATCATTATATGTAAATAAAATAGCTTTCACAATCTTATAACGAATCTATATCTGAAAGTCTAACAATATTACGAAGAAGAACATCAATACACGTATATTGCACATGAGCTTCAGTTTCATTGCATTTGAAAACAATTTAAAATTTAAACTTAGTTCTTGTTAACATTGATCTTTACTATATTTTATTATCAAATATATTAAAAACGATTTTGTTTTCTGTTTTTCTCTTTCACTCATATGTATATCTATCGAATGAAGAATTCGACCGAGCTAAGATTATGGCAACACAAATTGCTCATCGGATACTACCCATGTCGCTTCTTTTTTTATTAAAACCGCCGGTTGACCGTGGTTTATGAGAAAACCGGCGGTTCCACTGGTTTATTTGTTTTTCACCGGTTTTCGACCCATTTTTTGATAAAATCAACATTAATCTTTCTTAGAAAATCATTTTTTACTCGAAAAAACCGATTTAAGTCTCTTTTAGTAGATTAGTTTGAATGACACTATAATTTTTTCTATTGGCTAATGCTCTAACTTATCGTGATTTTTCTAGCGGCGTCTTTAATGAAATATTCAAATTGTAAATTGAGCAAAATTAGCCGATGTGGTTAGTACCGGCGGCTTCAGCGCGTTTACTAATGTAGGGAACCACGATTTCGACTCAAATCTGATAGTTTTCTAAGAGTTAAAAAATATTCATCGAGTGAAAAATAAAAATATATCATGAAAAAGAAGCACCGGTTAACCGGGGTTAACTGGCGGCTTTACACCGGTTTTAGCGACATGGGTAACTCTAATAAACAATACATTCTAATATGTAAGTTGTTTATCTAGAAAACAATCAATTTATACTTCAAATTTCGAATTTGTAAAGTATATATTTATCATTTGAATATGCTGAGGAGATATTTAACATCATCAATCATCATCTCGATTATCATTTTATTTTTAAAACTAATAAGAAATCAAATTTTCAAACACGTGACTTTATTTTTTTTGAAACTCATGAGGCATACGACTATATCAATCTTTCAGAAGCTACGAATTTTTCATCTTGTCCTTTATAGGATTTTCATTAAGGTCTTCTAATTTAAGTATTCCTCAAAGCAGCCTTGAATATCTGCTAAATATTCTCGATAATGACTGTTGTTAAGAATGCGGCAATCATGTATTATCGGACATCTAAATATAAACTTACTATTTCTTCATATCCAAAGTTTTAAGTTCATTGCACTCTCTGAGTAATTAATCTCTGAAGAAATAATATTTAGGATTAGAAAGATTAAAACTATCTATTGCAACCAATGGTGTCATTTTACGATAAACTGAAGTGAATATGGATTAGCAAGTCCTTTCTTCGGTAATACTCTCACCCATAATTCATATCTCAGGTAAAACACAATCATAATGGTCGCGAGATGCCACATTCCTAAGAAATTCATCGTTAACGAATGCTTTTCTAAGAAAAGGATCTACCTCTGATTAATATTCTAGCATCGATCATTACTGATTAGATATTCATCAAAACTAGAGTAACATTTCTCTATTGTGCACAACATCCATGTAATGAAACCAAAGTTCATCGGAAATAGAGAGAAAACTAGCGGTTAGGTCTCGTTTCGTCGAAATCTTAGTTGATATTCCTGTTTCGTCGAAATTGTTTTTCTTCCATTCCTGTTTCGTCAAAAATGAAAAAACGACTATTCTTGTTTCGTCGAAAAAATCAATTCTGATTAGTTTTTGCAAAATAGATTATATCATTTGAGGAGATGTTTTTTTGCCCTACTAATCAGAAATAGCGCCTGATTATGTGTAGATAAATTTATCGAGAAAAAGCTTGTTAGCGCAGCTCCTTTGGAACTGAAATGTGGAACTCACATGTATCTTTGAAACTTTTCATGTTATTGCATTATTTCTAGACGCGAAAGTTTTTTTAAAATAATTACAAAAACATCAAAATATTGTGTACAAGTTGAAGAGTATTATGCGCGGTTGCTGAGGTCTGTAATTGTAACCTGTCTGTAATGGGGGGTATGTCTGTAATGTTCTCTTTTCCGTTGCTATGTGTCTGTAATGGGGGCCTGTCTGTAAGGGGAGGGGTGGGGGGAGCCGCAAAATCTCGAACTTAAAACTTACACTCACTATTTTCTTCGAAAATATATGTGAGTTCCACAAAAGTTTATTATACAGCAGATTTCTATACATAAATAACAAATTAGTAAGAGAATATGAATATACCAAAGCAAAATTAATACTTTTTATTTCGATTAATTGCATAATTTTTTCAAGATATTCATGTGATGCTAATTTATTTTGTTTGAAACGTTCTTCTAAATTATTTAATCTTGCATTTCGATTAACAAATAATTTTTTCCATGGAGACAGCGTACCAGTTTGCAAATGACGCGATAATATTGCTGAATTATAAGCATAATCATTTTGAATTGCATGTATAAATACATAAAAATGTGGATGTACAGCATTATTTAAATCCCTATTTAGTCTGTGGTGCCATCTCTCCAAGCTGTTGTTAGTCCTTAAATTTTTAAAATCATAATAATTCCATAATGTATAATCAATTAATGCATCATCATCTATCCATGTACTTGTTATATAATCATAAAATTCTCGAGTATTACCAATATCTTGATAGTCATCCATTATCATTACCCATAATTTACTAATTTCTTGTGGTGGCATAAATACAAGTGCACATGTTTTTTTGTGAAGATTTCTAACATTAATTTCATTTATATCAGTGGATTTCTTATTAATAAATGCAGATTGAACTTCTAAATCTTGTAATTGGGTATAAATACATTTATTGAAGTGGAAATTATATCCATTAACAATAGCATTTGGAAAAATCAATTTAATGGAATTAATAGCAGCTTGTTCAAAGTCAATAGTAACATACTTAAAATTAAAGCAAATATTGTTTGTATGACATAAATTTAATATACAATTAAACATTGATATATATGTTGAACCTTTTTTATCAGCTAATAAGGTGTACAATATTGGTGTTGATAATTCATTGTTTGCTGAATGAACTGAATATAGTTGATAAAATGGATTCGGGCATGATTTAAATGTTCCATCAAAAAATAAATGATCATGATCACATTGTGATAATTAGTTAAATGATTCTAATGTACCAAATATGGGATGTTTTAAATTATGTAAAACAAATGATTCATCATTTAAAGTTTTACTCCACATTCCTTCAATATTAACATGATCAATATTACGTGGAGAAGGTGGATAACTTGAATGTCTTGCTTTATATAATGAAGTTTTCATTTCATGAAACATTGGTGTAAATGGTGTAATTTGTGAAGATGTTGTATATAATGATATTATATGTTTTCTAAATTTTTTTAACTGGTTGTGGTGAATCTTCAATATGTCTTTTGTAATTCATTTTAAATTCTTTAACTTTGCATCTAATTTCATCACTTTCATGGTTATGTCGTTTGTCATGCATGATGGAATTGAATCACATTGAATTGCACGACCAGGACACAAACGGTTTTCACATTTCCAATAAATCGTGGTATTTATAATTTTTTCCTGAGTGTAACGGAAATTATCGAGAAGTAATGTAGGTTTTCTACGTTTACTTTCAACAATAGTTGCCATCATTCCTTATTCAAATTAACTATAGCACAATCAATGAGATTAAACTTATCGTTGGAAATATATATAGAGAGACAGATAGATAAATTTCTTTGTTTTTTTTCAATTTACTCGCTTGAGAGTTTTAATTAACTAGTTTAGAACAAGAACATTTCAAGACAATCAAAACAATAAAGATGATCCCTTTCATCTTAGTTCATTTCATTACAATTTCACTGTTTCGATGAAATGAGAAGAGTCGTATTTTTATTTTCGACGAAACAAGAATGATGAGAAAAAAAATACATGAAGTTTTTCGACGAAACGGGAATACTTCAAACTGGCAGTATCATTCGGTTTTCATTAGTTAGCTAGGGTGTTATTTGTTTCGAAAGATAATCTAGACAATGAATTTGATGTTTCTTTCTAGTTAATGACTTAATGCTACTCAAAATGAAATACGGACCTATTTTTATTTCAAAAGGATTGATGATACTAAAGAAGTTTTTCGTATGTTTCTTGAATCTTATTTGACACTCACTGGAGTAAACAATTGAATGTTCTTCATAACAGAGACTAGGTATACAGTAAATTCAGGGAGGGTTACTTTTTGTCCCACTCCCTCATTATGAACTCCTGTTACAATATCTCATCACGACATTCCGACATAAGAAAAAATATAGGGTGTTCAAGATGCAGCTCTCAGTAGCCGGTGCAAATAAACTGAAAACAAAATCGGGATATTCAGAATAAAATTTGTCTACCAGGTCATAACGAACTCTAACAGTCTATTGTTGGTAGTTGAACAGCGAAATTTTAATTGATGACCAAAAAGAAAAAGAAAAAGTAGTCGTATTTATGTTAAAATTTAGTCATCTTCG